AGAAAATTATGTTTAATTTCTTGGTTCATTTCAACTGATTTTTAACAAATGTTCATGCTATATAAAGCAGTTGCTTGCACGAAGAAGTGTATGGATCGAACGCCAAGGAAAATAATTCTTGAATTTAAATAAGATAATATGTGTTTTTTGTAATTAATTGAAACGAAAGTTTTCTCTTTTCTCGCGCAGCTGCGGCGAGGCAATATTTATGAAATCAAATTAATTTGCTAGAAAGATATATCAAAAGCCATTTTATCAAGGATAGGGCGTGCTTTGCATAAACATCGATAAGTATCGATAGATATCGATATCTGCTGTGCATTACCAAAATGTCTATTGAATATCTTTAAAGCTGGTTGTTGGCTTGTTTGGTTCCTCATTACTTGTATGGCTTATGGTTTGATCCTTTGCTAACTTTTGGCTAGTAACTTTGAGATCGTAAGCCTATCTTTATTTTATTTTGTTTGCCCAGAGCTTAGCCTTAACAAGCCACTCGCTATGCCCATAATCCTAGAGCTATTGTATCTGTGAGATGCTGAACTTGTTACTTTATGTATACATACTTTGTTTTACAATTCGAAGCGTGGCGCTTGTTGTGAAAATTCAATTATGGAAGACCCTGTCTGCGTCTTGAAGCAGTGAGGTGCGGGTGGGCGTATCACAGGGGCGTCAATGCAACGGGGCGGGGTCCGGTCCGGTTCGGTCTGGGCGTTGGCGTTGCCGTTGCCATTGCCAGCAAATTTGGCGCGTAAATGACAAAAGTTTTCGTTCGAGTGTTGATCTTTAGTTAGGTCTAGGCTGGGGGATTTGACAGTGCTTTCGAGCAGGGGGCGTGCCGGCGTTGAACTTTAGGACGTTGGGCAACATCGTTAGCTGCCAGTGGCTGTAAGTGGCATCCTTGAAACTTGTGCTTCTGCCGCACGCATTTGCTGCATGCAACACCAGCAACAACATGCCAAGCTGCGAGCTGCGAATTGCGAGCTGTAAACTGTGAGCCACTGCCAGCCTGTTATTTTCTAATAAAAAAAAGCAACGCACACACACACACACACACACACGCACACACCACTTACAGGTCATTAAAGTCCAGACAATGAGTGGAAAATTGAAATCTGTTTTTATTGAGTTAACTATCTGACTGAGCAATAATCTGTTTTAGGCGCAACAACTGCAAATTTGATGGCTCTTAGATTGTTTATCTAATACTGCAACAACTAAACTAAGCAGCAGCAGGCCCTTTTTTCTCAAATGAATATGAGCGTGGCATATATTAACTTGGCTAAAAGTTTGATAAATTTGCTTGTTAAACTATGAAAGTTATGGACTTTCGTGAATATCTAATCTGAGAGTATTTGTTAAATGTGACATCTGCAAAAATTTCTATAGTTGAAAATTTTAATGGTGAATTTGAAAATTTAGCTAATTCCGATCAAAAGAAAATTTATAGAAATAAGAAATTTTCTTTAGAACTTATCGTATTTTTATATTGAATAGGTCTTCGAATCAAGAACTTTTAAATTTAAAAGTAAAAAATGTCACAAGAGGAGAAGAGAGGATAAGAGGAAAGAAAGGAGAAGAGAAGTAAAGGATTTTATTTTTAAATAAAAAAGAATTAGAAATAAGAAAGTTTTCAATTTATTGCAGTTTTCTAAAATTTAGAGCAATACTTTTGTTGAGCGAAGTTTTCAATAAAAAGCTGGGTACATAAATGTGAGAAAATCAGGTGCAGGAACCGTAAGCTGCACAGACATCCTTGATATACTCATTTTGTCTTTGTCAACAGAGTATAAGAAAGTACTTGGGACATGTCCACAAATGCTGTGTGTGGGGCGCTTAAAGATTTTGCACGCTTGTCGTTGACAAACGTTTCAGTTAGGTGAAAGCAAGTCTAATCGTTTACCAAAACACACACTCGCACACACACAGGCACACAGGCACACAGGCACACAGGCACACATAGTTGTGCACATAAAGCATCTTTTAGAGCGTAGCAAAACTCGTTGCGGTTCCATTTCACATTGAAAGCACATTGAAAAGCCAAATTTACCATGGCCACGCCCAGCCAGCTGCAAACGTGCAAAGTCAAAACCAAATCCAATGGCAACAACAATAAAAGCAACCAAATTTTCCGCCTCAATTAATTAAAATGTTTTGTTTTAGTGTTTTAGCAAGAAGTAGAAAATGAGCGCCAATATGCTGAGACATGGCGTCCTTTCATTTCACATTTCACATGCCACATGCCACATGCGCAACACACCGCCCCGCCCACCCTAGCTGCCTTGCCACCCTGTCTCTGAGCCAGTCTTGTGTAAAATGCTGATTGATATTTCCCTTCCGGTTAATAATGTAGGCTCAATATCTTTATTGTTGCTGGATCTGTTAAGATTGTTAGACTGAAAAGACTTTGGCTGCTCAAGGTCGCACAATAAAAATTAAGTTCATCCATCATTCATGCCACACAGCTGCGGCAAACGGGCTGTGGCACAGGTGGTGGAAGGATAGGAGGGAGGAGAAGCTGGCAGCATGGGAACCGCAGTTGAGTTTCGTTAACAGCGGGACGACGACTCAATTAGTCGCGCAGCGCTGCACTAACATAACATTTGAAGCAAGTTTGTTTAATTTAATTGTTGTCAAGTTTCGCTTGCTTCATTGTCGTCCAGTTTGGCGTCCTCGACGGCATCTCCATATGGCCCCACTGGCTGCTCTTATTGTTGTTTTAAAACAATATGCCTGGTGGCTCGTGGCTCGTTAGACAAACCGCAGACACAAAGCAGGAGGCGCACATAAATAATCATTTACAATGTCCGCAGCCGGAGCTGAAACGGAGTGTGTAGCTGAAGGGCCGGGGGTCTCGGTATGCGAACATGGGGGCATGCCCCAACATCAGCTGTCTGCTTGTAATGATCGCTAATAGAGATGACTGCGTCCTCTGGAGCCCAACCGCGCTTTGGTCAGCGGTCACCTGCAGGCGGAAATACGAGAACAAAAGATAGGTTGGAAAATAAGGAAATAGAGAAAAACCGTTTCTTGCTTCCTTATTTTTTGTGAGGAGCTCTCCAAAAGTGGCTTCAATAATATTTTTAAAGTATTGGAGCACGGGTAAAATGGATTGAATATAATATATATGAATATATAACAAGATGATTTTTATCGGTTTCATGGGAACATGTTTAGTGGGCGTGTTTGAATGAAAGTTTATAGATGCAAGTTTCTGGTTTTATAGTCTCTGAAATCGACTCGTTTATGCAAACGTACGTATATACGTACTTATACTAAACGTACATAAAATTGACTTTATACTACGCTATAATTAAGGAAATCGTATTTTTATCCATTGCTCTTCTATGCGATTCTCATGTTTTAAAGTAAACCTTACAGATTTCCATGCTTTGATTATACGTATTATCTCTCTCTCTCTCTCTCTCTCTCTCTCTCTCTCTCTCTTATTATGTTTATCTTTTTTTTTTCTACCATAATTAGATACACTTATACATAGATATGAAATATGAATAGGAATATAAAAAAAATATAAGGACTTTTCTGAAAGCTAACGGAAAATGCAACAAATTGAATAAATTTCTTTTGCTTTTGCATAAGCTCCATTTCTACATAATATTGATTTTCAATATATATTGATAATACCCTGTTAAAATACAATATTTGCCAATATATATATATATATATATATTCGAATAGGGGCGTGGCTGTGCTCGCTAATATCCGCTGTTAGATTGGCGCTAACAATCGAGTGCATTGCCATTGTAGCAGACGCATCAGGAGCTGCCTGTGCCATTAAAGATAGTGTAAAAGTCCAACAAAAACCATCAATTTGCTGGGTCTGACCAACGAGCAGTGTCCGTTGGTCACCGCACCGCACAATCCCGCATCCCACAATGCAGATTGCACTTCTATGTGCGGTTTTGTTGCTGCCCCAAAGCGGCCAGATCTGAGCACGGTGTATGCTGCTTGCTCTTACACAATGCAGGAGTTGTGCCGAAGGGTTTGAAGGGCGAGGAGGGGATACGAGGGACGCAGGGCATGGCGCTTTCATTAACCTTTTTGGCATTCAACATAATTCAATTTGGCATCAAGTCGTGCTGCAGTAGCAGCAGCAGCAGCAGCAGCTCATTTGCATTAATGCCATGCACGTGTGCAGTGGAAAGTGCATTGAAAATGTTCATAAGTAAATTGATTGGCCGAATATCCTTAATTGTGGCTTACGTTGCTTAACAAATTATTGACTAAGCTGCCAATCGCTGACTTTAAACAATGAAAACCCACCGAAATAAATAGTTAAGCCCAAGCCTTGGCTTACGGCCGCACCGCTTCAAGCCCGAATCATAAATTGAGCTATTTAAATGTAAACCTAAGCCACACCATTTATAATTACATATAATATTGCCAGATAAGGGTGAAGTTTGGTGAGACTCAGTGACAAGTTGGCACAGAAATTGACAGAGGGACGTGGCTCGATTCGCCATCAATTTCTTTTATTTTCTCTTTATAAAACTATATACTATATATATACACTGCTATAAAAATAAATATACATATAATTTAATAAATTTATGATAAATAAAATAGTTGAAAATTGAAAGAAAGTTGACGAAAGACCAAGTTTACGGTGCGAATTTTAAGGCAAGACTTTGATTTGAACCGTCAACTGAACCAGCGAAAAAGTCTGTTAGGTTGGCTGCCATGTTAAACACTCTATGGAATTAAATAATATACCATTTGGGATCCATTTGGGATCTGTTAGGGATCTGTTTGGGCGGCAGCATGCGTTGGTTCCATTTCAGTTGCTGTTAACAATTTCTGTTCTGGGCCAAACATTACGTATACGTCGTGTTGCCGGCTGCTGTTGTAAACGCCTCGTAATGTTGTACACGGTGCGCATGCCAGGGAAATTTTAACAGAGCCATAAGGGAAATTCTTGTGCCGCAGCAGCTATAACAGCCGCAACAGCAGCAGCAGCAGCAGCACAACCAACAGCAGCAGCAGCAGCATCAGCGACAGCGACAGCAGTGGCATCATCAGCAGCAGCAGCAAACATTGCAGGATAGTATGAAACAGGACTCAGCGCAGACGGCACGCGTTTCGCTTTTGAGGAGAACCAAACGCGAGAGTCGCAGCAGTCGCAGTCACAGTCGCAGTCGCAGTCGCAGCAATTGCCGTTGCCGTTGTTGTCGTAGTCGCAGTCGCAATCGTTGTCTCGTCTCCGTGGCCGTGTCTCTGTGTCTGCGTGTGAGTGCGCGCGCGTGTGTGTGTGTGTATGTTTGTGTTTCAGTGTGCGTGCATATGCGTCTGTCTGCCTGTGTGTGAGTGTCTCTGAGTGTGTGTGAGTGTGTGCTCATGTAAGCCCAAAAGTGTGTGCCTGTGTCTGTCGCGCATGTGACTGCCAGCTGCGTTTATCTTGTGAGTTTGAATGAATTGCCGCTGCTGCTGCCGCTGCCAACAACAACAACAACAGCAGCAGCAGCAGCAGCAGCAGCAGCATTTTCAAACAGCATAATAAAAAACAATTCCAAAAAACAGCAAGAACAACAATAAGCTCAGCTCTGGCTGCGCTTAGCAGCGACGAAAGCGTTTAGCGCCTGTAAATATACGCACAAAAAACGCACAAAAAACGCGCACAAAACGCTTACATAATTTTTGTGTGTGCTGCGTCTGCCGCTGCTAAGCGGCAATAAAAATGCACATAACTACAGCTGCAGCACATAGCTACGGCAGCAGCGGTCATAATTGTATGGCCGCAAATGCCGCTAACAGAAAAAGCCAAAATATGAATTGTACAAAATTTCGCTTGAAAGCAATTCACATAATTTTGCAGCGCGAAAAAAAGGCGCGCAGCATTTTGGCAGCTGTTTCTGTAGCCATTGTTGTTGTTCTTATTGTTGTTGTTGTCGTTGTTGCTGCGTTTAAGCGTCGTCTGATTGCCACGAACACTGTCGTTGCCTACTTTGTGGCGCGCGCGCGTTTCTTTGAATTGTTTGTTGTTGCTGCTGCTGCTGCTGCGGCTGCTGCTGCTGAGCTGCAAAATTGTTACACGGTCATTGCGGAGGTCGCGCTAACAAAGCTGCCAAGGCAAAGATAAAGACCAACAACAACAACAACAACAACAACAACAACTACAGCAACAATAGGGGCGACAATTGCGAGTCAGTTAGGAAATTGAAGTCAACATTTCGTAACCGAATTGCAGCAGCAGCAGCAACAGCAGCAGCAGCGACAGCAATTGTTGCCGTTGCTCAAGTTTGAGGCTTATAAATTGTGTTTAATTCATTTTCAAATCAATTTGCATCAACTTGTTGCATTAAAATCCAAATTGTTGCAAATGAAATTTGCAAAACAAAAAAAAGAACAAAATGCGCGCGTTTTGCACGCGTTTTCTGGCTGCTGTTGTTGATCTATTTTCAAACATTCGAGCTCAGCTGTTTGGTCCTGGCGCACAGAGCACAACAAAAATAAAAGAGAGCACAAATCAAAAACTCATTAAAAAAATGTCTAAAAAGTGCGAAAGACTATTGTGAAATTTGTGTGGTTTCTTGTTTTGGTTTTTTTTTGTCTTGTTGTTTTTTTTTTTTTTTTTTTTTTGCGAACAAAGTTTGTTGCAGCTGTTTTTTTTTTACATTTTTGTTATGTTTGCAAACACGTTAATAAAAAGCAAATCAACAAAATAGTGCGCACAATTTGAAGAATTCAACTACAACAAAGAAAAAAAGAAAAGAAAATAAAAATTGAAAAACTAAATGCAAATAAGCAGGCGAGAAAAACAAACAAATAGAAAACGAACTAAAGCAGCAGCAACGATTTGAGCAAAGCAAAACGGAAACCAATTTTTTTTTCGCTGACTGCCGAATCGTTTTGTGCCAAGGTAAGATTCAAGATACTATATAAGATTTAAGATGTAACTGGCTTTTACATGTTTGTGTGTGTACGTGTATTATAATTAAATGCCTCCAAGCCCTGGCAGCCATTATACATTTTGTCACAGCAAGCAGTCAATGGCGATCCCAAAATATGTTCATCATATAAACTAGAATACATTGTGGCAGAAGATAAGAAGCTACCGATTGATTCCAGCGTAGATTTAAGCAAATCAATATGAAAAAAAAGAATACAAAAATAGTTAATTCTTGATTTGTTGCAACAAATCTATAAAGACATGTCTGTCCGCTTTGTCTCAGGTTGTAGCTAGTTTTTGGGAATCTTCCGAGCTGTCCGAGCGCATCGGAACAGTTTATCCTATTATCTTTCAGGGAAAGAAGTCTGTGTAGCGCTAAGTTCTTTTTATTAAAGTTTAATGCTTTTTGAGAAATGTGTTCCAAACTTGGCATCTATGAGTTTTACCAAGCTGACTAATAATTTGCCAATGCTGGTAACTTTCAGGCTATCTTAAATTACAAATAATATTACTTTATTATAAGTGTGCCTAAACAGAAAACATGAAACTCAAAGAAAATGTAAAAATGCCAGTTTAAAAGAGATATTTCTTTAATTTATGTTTTGTCACAGCACAACTGGCCGAAAAATCGCAATGCATTTCAGTTGGAAGATTATTATAAAGCTCTAATGATATATTTATTGGCTCGTTGCTTGCATAGGCAGTTCTAGGAGTCCCCACAGAAAGAAACATATGATATAATATAATAATTATAATTCCTATTTTCCAGAGATGTTAAATGTAGTAATTATTGTATTGTATTGTTGGTATATTAACCTGATATATATCAAGTGCTTGATTATTGTAATTGTTTTTCCATGCATTTGGGTATTCGACTTTTAGATTTTCCGGAATGTGAATTCGTTAAAATATCAATTAAATTATGTTTCTAGGATACAAAATCCAATCTTTGCTTCTATGAATACAAGAATAATGAACAGATTTTCCAAGATAAATTTTCCAATTGCGTTTGCATTATTGCTAATGCGAGCAACATAAATTCATTGCTGGACATTTTATTTATTTATAGTTCAATTGCAGGCAGCAAATTAAACAAAATTCGAAGAAACTAAAATCAAAAGAATGTCGAGTAGTTCTATCGAAAAATTATTTAGTAAAATATATATAAATTTTTTCCATGTAAAATATTGTCAATCCAATTTTCTCTATAAGCAAACATTTGCACTTGATAGAACTTTTCGCATATAAATTGATTAATTGTGCACATTACCCTGCAATTAAGTTAAGCCAAAAAGAGGGTATGCTGTCGTCCAGCATTTGTACTTGTGTAAGCTAACAGAGTTTAATCAAACATCAGCCCCTTTTCATAGGTCAGTTTTTGTTGGGAAAGGTTTTCTTGTGCATGGCCAACATTACTTTTTGATGCCTTTCTTGACTAAAATCATTTAACTATAATATTTTCCCAAAAACTGCTAAAATGTTTGCCCAGCAATTTGACCGATTATGGAGAGTAAAAGAGAGAGGCCGTGAGGGGGCATGACAGTGAAAGGGATATGCTAAGTGAGTTGTTGTAGCAACTATTGTTGTTGTTGTTGTTGCTGTTGCTGTTGCTGTTCTGGTTCTGGTCGTTGCTGTGGTTGCCAAAATGGCAACAGCTCCACATTTATTTATTTTGTTGCTGCCTTTCCAATTGGCCCGTACCACACACCGAATGCCGCACAAGGCCCATCGTCTCACCGCCCCCAATTGCCGTTCGCCTTATCGAGCCACTCGGCCAGCTGCAGTCGTGTGCCTACATTTTAGGGTTTTAATTAAATGCAACAACAAAGCCAGAAGCAAACAAAACCATTGCACACACTGCTCACAACAATGCAACTTGTGTAAGTTTCGTTCATGGAAATTAAACGAACGGATTAAATCATGAACTGACCCAAAAGATTTGCTCTCGCAATAAGCTAAACTAACCAATGGCAGCTTGTAACATTGCAAATATTAATGGATCACAAAGTGGCAGAGCTGCTAAACAATACATATTACCATAATGGAATTATGTTTCCTTAAGTTTCAAATATGTATGCACAGCATGTGCAAGAAATAAATGTCGTAGCCATGCATAGGATCTCAAAATAAAAAGAAACATCAATGAATTGGTATCTACCGACAGTAAGTTGCTCTGTATATATCCTTGATATATAAAATATGTTATTCCTCATGCGCCTTGCGTGTAAGCTGCGCTTCTTCCTTCCTTAGTAATAATCTGTGTATGAGAAATGCATGCTTAAACAACTTAAAGAAGGGGCAAGACCAGATCGAGCTTAAAGTATTTGCTTCAGGTCACTCTTGTTGCGATGCTTTAAGCATTATTTTTTAACGAGCCACATGCATATCTAGCAATAATTATAATGGATATTTGCATATTATCCTGGATTTTTTCCATCTACAGTTCGATGTTGTGTCATTGAGTGAATTTGTTGCTCGCCAATCGGAATAATAGCATATTTCTCAGTCCATTGGCGTTGACTATTTTGCATTTTAATCGTTTTACTTAATTGTTGGGGCCAGCGCAATAACAACAACTAACAGACGTGCACAGTCTTAAAACTCACAGGGTCCAATACATGAGCGCCTGACAGGGCTGCAATGCAAGAGCGATGGGGAGGGTGTGTGTGTGTGTGTGTGTGTGTGTGAGTGTGCTTGTATTGTGCATGGGTCCCAAAATGAATGAGTGAACTTAACATTAGAGACGCTGCCCGTTCTGGTCAAACAAAAGGGCGGCGGCACCGGCTACCAGAATATAGACAATGGGGCGTATGAGCGACAACAACAAGAGACAATACAACAAGCCAAATAAATTGTAAACATGGAAGAAAGGAGAAAAAAAAGCGTTTACAGCGATGAGCAAAATGAAGAGATTAGTGAAATGACCAACAGAACACGGCGGGCGTTGAAGCTTTGCCCCTGCCACATACCCCACACACAGCGCAGGCAAGCAAAGGATGTAGGGGTATGTTAGGGGTAACAGTCAGTGTGTGTGTGTGTGTGTGTGTGTGTGTCTGGCGCAAACAGCAAAAGGCGAGAGGCGAAAGCAATGAAGAGAAAACATTTAAGCGAAGCTCTTCGGCTCTGATCTCCCGCTTTCTGTTGCCCCCATCTGGCTATATAATGGCCTTAACCAGCTCAGTCCAGTCCGGCTCATCTTTGTCCTCGTCGCTTTTTATGGCCATGTCAAACACTGCAAATCAGTTTAAACTAACAACTAGCTTCCCCTGTGCGGCAGCGGCAGCAAGTAAGGGTGGGCGCATAGAAGTCTGCTTTTGACTATGTTTTTGGGCGTGTCAAAATGCTTTTGTCCGCAGTGCAACAGCAGCTGACGCCTTAAACAGGCGACGACGGCCTAAGCATTGGCCACACATAAATGACGTCCTCCCCCCCTTCGTCACCCTAGCCAAGGGTATTCTAATTTCTAAGCCATTAAAGAGGGTATTTACATTTGTTCCTGCAATGTGTAACTCCATGAAATTGTCGCTTATAAAATATATTTATATTTCTGATCAATATCAACTAACTAACAGAAACTACGCATGGTTCTGCCTTTCTACAGCAGATATCGGCTGAATCGAAGCACTATATCATATATCTGCTATAGGATTGATTGCTCGTTAATTAAGTTTTCTCATAAACTTTTTCGCCTTTCAAGATATTTTACTTAACTTTCAAATTATTCAGCAAATAAAAACTCCAGTATTCTTCCTACATATCTGCCAAGACAGGAACAAAGCGCGTATTTATTTATTTAGGCAGCTTTAAACGAATAAAAACAACGAACTTTTAATAATCAAAATATTATGAATAAAGTTTGCTTTAGCAACATGCTATGTCATATTTTTAATTTTAGCCAGAGCTTGTATTTATTTTAATTATTAGTATATCAGTTTTTTTTTTTAATTTAAGTCTTTTTCATATAATTATTTTTTTAGTTTTTATTTTCTAGTATTTATTTAAATTCTTACTAAATTGTAATTGAATTAGAATTTGTAGTTTCCAGTCATGCGATTGCTCGGCTTTTGTTTGCAAACTTTTCAAATAAAAGTTATCAGGAACTTTTTAATTAAAATTCTATATAAAATGTATACCATAATTTTTTCACATTTCCACTCATTTGCTGCTTGTGGCAAAAACCATATTTTGCCTTACCTTCTACCTACATTTCTGAAGAGCGAAATGAAAACTTGTTACCAGAAGTTTTACCAAGTAGCAGACGTTCTAAAAAGATTTTCACCTAGTGGTAACTTGGTTACAAGGTTTTCGAATGCCCTAAACTCAACCCCAGCCTAGGGTAGTGATATTTCTTTTGTATGTACATATACATATATATGTATGTGTGCTATTAAGTCGCAGAGTCTGTGCAACTTGCTGCGGGATTTGAACCAGCGACCATCGCGGCTCAGACACGCAGCTTCACCACTTTATGTGTCCAAAGCACACCTATATAGTTGTTGTTGTTGTTGAATGCTTTTCGAACAAACTTTGAGCTGACCTTCGAACCCAAAGGATGCATCCGTAAAAGTTTTAACTGAAGATTGTAATGTAATATAGTTTATGCATACGCAGCAAACAGTTGCCCAGTCCCAGTTACAACTGCTCGTGTGGCAAATATGAATTATTTATGTGAAACCCAATAATCCTTTATAATCTCCGAATTCAAAATTATACAATGTAATATATTATTTGAAATAGTCGCTAAGCATATTAAAATTGAATTATTTTTAGGCTGAAATTATTTATGAATGTTAAATCTATTCTTAAATTTGCATAAACAAAGCTCTGTCAAAGTGTCAATGATTCGGCCAGGTACGCGCTCTTAATATCCTTTATTTGTTGTCTCTTTTTTTTTCATTTATCACTCGCTGAATTATTAAGTAGGACAAAAGCAGCATAGACACACACACACACACACACACACGCACATT